CTCCATCCCAGGACCCTGGGATCATGACCTGAACCCAAGATAGACGCTTAACTGACTGAGCCACTCAGGCACCCTGCATTCTTTTTTATTTTATTTTATTTTATTTTATTTTAAAGATTTTATTTATTTATTTGACAGAGAGAGAAATAGCAAGAGCAGGAACACAAGCAGGGGGAGTGGCAGAGGGAGAAGAAGACTTCCCGCAGAGAAGGGAGCCCAATGCAGGGCCTCCATCCCAGGACCCTGGGGATCATGACCTGAGCCAAAGGCAGTTGTTGTCAGTCTTTTCTAAAATGGAACCTGGAGGACACAGAGATAGACAGTTCCCAGATCTGAACACCAGTATAACACTTAAGAACTATAACCATACCCCACCCTTGATCAGAGTCTGTAGGAACTTCTACCCAGAAGATAATTTTGTGATATGGCTCCCTTTGGATCAGAAGCATAAAAATTTTTGACAAAATAATGGTAGCATTTGTATGGAGAGAGCCACATCTTCTTATTCATCTAAAAGAAAAGGTGATTTTTGGTATATGTCATAGAATGATAGGAGTTGAGGAGAGAGTAATGCTTCAGAGACTGCATCTGATGGGGAGAAGGTGCTTTTAGATCTTGTAAAAACAGTTTTGGGACTAGCTTCTGAAAGCTATCACTTTCTATTTGCTAAAAATTCTAGAACGCATGGCATTTTCTATGTGCCACCCATTTTACTCCAAAATGAGAATAGCTTTATTGCCTTTTTACCTGATTATAAAAGTGATATATAATTGGTATAGAATATGTACATATTTATGAAGAACAAAAGTAGTAACACAAAAATTTATATCTTGCAGAGGTAACTCATTTATTATTTTGAAAAACACTTCTCCATGAACCTTGGTGAATGGAGACATCAATTTTATATATATTGGACAATTTATATATGCTACTTTGTTATCTCATTTTTTAAACTCATTACTTATTTATTTATTTATTTATTTAATCAGAGAGAGAGAGTGAGCACAAGCAGGGGGAGTGGCAGGCAAAGGGAGAAGCAGGGTCCCTGCTGATCAAGGAGCCCAGTATGGGACTTGATCCCAGGACCCTGGAATCATGACCTGAGCCGAAGACAGCCACTTAACCAGCTGAGCCACCCAGGCCTCCTTAAACTCATTTTTAATATACTATATGAATCTTTCATATCAGTAAATATACACATATGTTAGCATTTCTAGTGATGCCTCTTCTTACTGCTTATGTAAAATATCACTTAATTCATCCATCCCCTTTTATGGTCTTTTAGATATTGAGTATAATAGCAGTCTTACTATTATAAAAGTGTTGCAGTTGAACACTTACCCAATTATTTCCTTATGATAAATGTAAGTGGAGTTATCATGTCCAAGGGCATATATATTTTAAATGTTTATGTGTATTGTCATACTTTCATCCAGAAGAATGATACCCTTTCAAACTAACTTGTGTAAGTAAGCCCAATTTTACTTCTTTTCTACCTGTTGCATTGGGTACTTTCCTTTGTAAACTCCACTTGTTTTCTAGAACTTTCCAAATGATCTGTGATTAAGGACCAGGGTTTGAATTTTTTTTTAATTTTCAATCTGTTGTGCACTGAAACTTTTGTAAAATACAATAAATATGAATTACCATGAGGAAGAAACCAAAAAGGCATACACAATGCAAGCCTCAGGTTTTTTTTTAATCTATTATGATATTATGCAGACATAAAATTATTCTGTCAAGTCTGTATAAGATTTTCTAAATGCTCACTTTCAAATTCTGGGGTTTATCTTGTCAAGCACTGATTACAAACAATCCCCAGAGTGCCACCCATCCCCCTTCACTGTATCAGGGTTTGCTCATTTGCTTCTTTTTCCCATACTGTCAAAGTTTCCCCTTCTGCTGGTTTTACCCATCAATATTTACCAGTCCTTCCCATCTTGAAAAAAGACTTCCCTAAGATGCATCCCTCCACTGTCTCTTTTCCTTCACAATCAAGCTTCTTAAAAATCATTTGTACACTCTGGTTTCTGTGTCTTTACCTTACTTTGGAATATGTATTCCACTGAAACTGCCCTTGCAAAAGGCACTTAGGATCTTGTTGCTAAATCCAGTGGATCCCTGTCATTTCTTAATTTAATTGTACTGCTTTGTGCCCTTGTGCACCATGCCCTGGACACTTGGTCCCACCTTGACTTCAGAAAGTCACTTTCTCCTGATTCTTCTTCTGCCTTTCTAGACAAGCCTTCCCAATGTCCTTGTTCTGTGGGTGGTCCTCTGACTTACTGGAGTTTCCAGGGTGTTTTGTGCTTATTTTTTTTTACTTTGCTCATGGACACACTCTTACCGTGTCATTTCATCCAGTCCTCATCTTCAGCTACTGCTGACACCCTTATATCTCCCTATCTTTATCTGCATCTGAGATCTAAGTCCCATTAAAGGACATTTTTTTTAAAGTAAAATAATGACTTTCACACAATTATAAAATTAACAACTGCCGAAGATATTTTATTTATTTTATTAAGTCACTGATTAATAAGCAAACTAAAAAGATGTTAAAATTGGTCCAAGGAGGGGCGCCTGGGTAGCTCAGTCGTTAAGCGTCTGCCTTTGACTCAGGTCATGATCCCAGGGTCCTGGGATCGAGCCCCGCATCGGGCTCCCTGCTCGGCAGGAAGTCTGCTTCTCCCTCTCCCACTCCCCCTGCTTGTGTTCCCTCTCTCGCTGTGTCTCTCTCTGTCAAATAAATAAATAAATAAATAAATAAATAAATAAATAAAATCTTTTAAAAAATTAAAAAAAAAAATTGGTCCAAGGAGAATTCCAGGACACACACACACACACACACACACACACACACACAGAGGAAATAAGGAATTCTGAAATGCAGACGAGGTCTAGCTGCAGGACAATAACCAGTGACATTCCACTAGACATAATTAATTCGCATTTCTGTGGACAAGAATCACTGTTATCAGCTTTCAACAATTTACAGAGTGATAAAATAGATGGAGCACATGAAGAGAAAAGCCAACTCAAATGGCAAGGCCAGACCCGATATTCAATAATCTTTCTTTTTTCACCCTAGCACATCCACTTATCTTTCCCTCCCATTTCAAATTGTTTCACCTCAGAGACCCCGTTGTTGTGCCCAACAGCATTGCATTACCAGCGTGTCCCCAGCTGCACTCAGCACCCCCTGCTTCACACCGTCCCGCATCACAGTCTGGCTTCTCCTAGAGTCTCTGTCGGTAACCTCGCTCAACTTACCCTTAGTGGAATCTTGGAAAACCATGTACTACCAACACACATATTTTTAAGTAATCAACTAAAAATTTTTATTAGAAGTTTAACTAGTATCTCTCGGAGTATCATAAATATTGACATGTTAAGATAAATGGCTATATCACCTTTTAAAAATATCAAATAGAATAAAACATACTTTTTAAAAAATATATTTGAACAACTTCCCAGGCAGGGGAAGGTTCCCATTCAAGGCCAAGCCAGGCTCCTTACCTGCCTTCAGTCCCACGGGCCCTGCCCAAGCCAAGGGCACCTGCGGGGTCAGGCCCACAGCTGGGAGGAGTCCCGTGCTCTCAGACACTGAGAGACCCAGACATCTTTCCAGAAGCACTCTGGACCTGCAAAGCCACCTGCCAAGGCACCATACTTAAGAGATACACTAGGGAGGATGCTAAAGGTAACAATGTTAAGGAATGTGGAGGGGCGTCTGGGTGGCTCAGTCGGTTAAGCGTCTGCCTTCGGCTCAAGTCATGATCCTAGGATCCTGGGACTGAGTTCCCACATCGGGCTCCTTGCTCAGTGGGGAGCCTGCTTCTCCTTCTCTCTCTGCTCCTCCCCCTTCTCATGCTCTCTCTCTCTCAAATAAATAAAATCTTAAAAAAAAAAAAAAAGGAATGTGGAGAAGACAAACTCACATGATTTTAGGTGATTTCTCAGGCAGAACAACTTTAGGAATAAGAATATGTAAACTGAGCTTCTGAAAATTACCTTAAAACTACCAGTTTCCAGATACTCTTTAGAAAACTTCAGATAACCCCAGGGGTACTCTTACCTCATTTTAAACACAACTGGTCTAAACACCCTTCACTCTTTCACCAAACCCCATCATGAATCCTTCATCCCTTCCTTCTTACTTTTCTCCTTAATATCTTTGGGATGTGTCCACTTCCTCTATGCATGTCTTCATTTAGAACATCCCTGGTGCTCAAGCAGATTACTGTAATAGCCTCCTAACTTTCCTGTATTCTAACCAAGCTTTGACATTGCTGCTCAGCCCTCCTCCCAAAGCAGAAATGTGATTCATGACCCTTTCTCCTCTAAAATCCTTCAGGAGCTCCCTAAGGATGTTAAGGCAGACTCTTCAGCAGTGTACACAGGGCACTTCATGATTTAACCCCCTGCTTATCTTCTAAATTCACGTCTTCCCGGCTGCCAACCCTCTCCCTGCCCTCTCCACGCAAACCCCCAGGGAACCCTGTGTTCTAGTTACACGAAAACACTTGTAACCTTTAAGTCCTCATATTCCTAAGACTTCCCTCAGGCTCTCCCCTCTGCCTAGAACACACTTTCCAAAACTTTTAGCCAGGCTCCCACCTCTTTAGGAACCAGTTTTCATGTCACTCTTTCTAATAAGCATTCCTGCCCATCCTAACACAGGACTGCGTGTCCTTCCTCTATGCTTCTGGGCATTCTGTGCCTATGATTTTCACACCACACTTTAATGTCCCAGGACTGACCCAAATTCCTCCTGGACTGTAAATGCTTGGAGACTGGGATCATGCCTTACTGCCTTTATATTCCCAGCATCCAGCACACACTTGGCATGTGGCAGGTTCTCCTTAAATGTCTGCTAAGTGAATGAATCAATTTATCAATGACAAATGCCACAGAAATGTAGGTTTGTCTGATCACCCCTATATATAGTTTGGTACAAATTAGTTGTGTTTTATGAACAAAATACAAATGCAAGTCCCTTCTCCTCAGCCCCCAACACTGCTTATGACTGTTGTTTTCTTGAATGCTGTTCTACTTCTTCCCCACATGCTGCTGGCAGACTCCAGTAAATTCCCACTCAGTATTTTATTTTATTATATTTTATTTTATTTTAATTTTATATTTGACAGAGAGAGAGAGAGTACAAGCAGAGGGAGAGGGAGAGGGAGAAGCAGGCTCTCTGCTGGGGCTCAATCCCAGGACCCTGGGGTCATGAGCTGAGCCAAAGGCAGATGCTTAACTGACTGAGCCACGCAGGTGCCCCAATCCCACTCTATTTGGAATAGTGTGCTTCATCCAAGAATATGCCCCTCATCCAAGATATGGCCAACAAGTCACTGAACTGTATTTTTCCTAATTTTTAGGATGACTTTAAAATATCTTTGAAGGCTTTTTGTCTCTGTGTTCAGGTTTAACTTTGATTCTGCTTGGTACAATGGGTAAGAGTAAAGGGAAGGTTTTTTTTTTTTTGAGGATACAGAGAAGACTAAAACCTCATCATTCCTTATGTCAGGGAAGAAACAGACAAGTGTTCCCCTATCTCTTAGAGAAGTGTTATGAGTCATGCACAAGGTACCTGGGAATGTGGAAGAGAATCTCACTGCATCCACAATACTACTATCCCCCTGTTAATTTTTTATTGATATCTAAAAATGGACATTATATCCTGTTTCTTATCTCTTCCTGGTATTGTTTTATTTCAAATAAAACATACATTTTAATTATCTCAAGAGGAAAAATGTATGAATATAAAAAGTTGTAAATGCATACACAAAAATCCACACTGCTGCAAATCAGTCAAAGCGAGTGTTTTAATTATTTGAATTAAGAGAAATATTGAATTATTTTATTCTGTTTATCCCCTGATAATAGAGCCTTCATGAGGGCAGGGACTCTATCATGTTCACTGTTATATCCTCAATACTTACAAAAGTGCTAGGATGTAATATTCATGAAATAAATATTTGTTGAATGAATGAATCCTATATATATATGTGTCTCATCATATATATGATGGATATATATCACATATACATATATATGAATCATATGTATATGTATATGTATATATAGCTAGCAAAGGGCTGCTACTTCTTCAGTTCCAATGAGTTCTGAATTTGAATGTGTTTTCTTTAACAGATGGAAATACGGACAAATACTTTGCTATTAATGAGACATCAGGAGAACTCTCAACCACTCGCGCTTTGGACCGGGAACAAGTCAGCAATATTACCCTAGTCATCCTGTGCTCTGATCTTGGGGATCCACCGAGGAGCTCTCTAGTGCAGTTGCAGGTTAGAGTTTTGGATGACAATGACCATGGCCCGTCCTTCCCCATGCTGCATTACCAGGCCTCCGTGAGAGAAGATGCTCAAGTGGGAACAGTGGTTCTCGTGCTGTCTGCCGTGGACAGGGATGAAGGCCTGAATGGACAAACTGAGTATTTTCTGGTGGATGAGGCTTCTGGTGCATTCACCATTGATGCCATGGCAGGTACATTGAGAACCCGCCACACGCTGGACCGAGAAGCCAGATCTCAGCATACATTTAGGGCTGTGGCCAGAGACTGTAGTGTCCAGGGCTCAAGAAGCACCACGGTCATTATAGAAGTACATGTCACAGATGTAAATGACAATGACCCAGTTTGGGTGCAGAACCCCTTGGAGATTTTTCTTTCTCCCCGGTCGCCTACTAACCAGACAACTGCCATTCTGACAGCCAGTGACCCTGACTTGGGACCCAACGGAACTGTCATTTTTAGTTTTGCAGAGACCCAGTCAATGTTTTCTATTGATAAATATACAGGAGAAGTTCAACTTCAGCACTGCCCATCTTCTGAATATTTTCCAATCTGGCTGCAGTTAAAAGTTAGGGACCAGGGGGTTCCAGCTAGGACGACCACTGGCCTCTTAGTGGTTCACATGGAAGGGGAAGATGTAAAGATTTCCTTCAGCCACCATCTCTATAAAGCGACTGTGACCGAAAATTGTGATGCAGGTGAGTGTCCCCTCAAGTTTTTATATATTGTACCTGTTTGGGCAAAATACTTAAAACTAAGGATTATACCACAAGAGTGCTATTGCGGATTCAGTCACAAATTTCTGAGTTCAGCCAATTTTTAGTATGCCGATGTTCATCCATAGTGCAGTATTAGAACAGTACCTTCAAATATAGTAAAATACACACACACATACACACACAACACACACACACACCCACACAAACCCTTAATGACAACAAAGAGTAAAAATACTGAAAAATAAATCATTTAAGGCTTTTGAAGTTTCAGTTAATATAGGTTTACAACCTCAAAAAAAAAACCCTTTATTTAAATGTATCTGAATTCCTTAACAAGTGTACATTTCCTAAAGTACTTCCTTAGAAGTACAATAAAAGAGGAGGTATGTTGTGGTTAAATGCTTGGGCTCTGCCTGAATTTAAATCCGAAGTAAGCCACTGTGCCTCCTTGGGCAGGTGAATCTGTCTGAGCCTCAGTTTCCTAATCCATAAGGTAGGAAGAAGAATTGTGCCTACCTCATTAGGTTCTGGGGGCTGAATTAGCCAGTTCACGTAAAGCACCCAAAACAGCGTCTGACACATAGTAAGCATGTAATAAATAGAAACTACTAATACTAGTATCATTATTCATTTTGATACCATCAGCAGTGAGTGCAGTAATATGTGATACTCAAAGAATTCAGCGCAGTTCACACCAGACTTCTGTGAACAGTAACTGTTTTTCCTAATAACACTAGATTCTTCTCCAGTTACTTCCTTACATTTATGCCATAATGGGAAACGTAAATAAAAAATCAGTTTTACTTACCTTTCTAACCCAAAAGTGAAAAAACTTCCTTATAGATACTTGTAAATTGAAAGACATTTGACCTGGGTAATTATATCTAGCTAGAGAGTGGAGAGATGCATCTACTGATTCTTTCCACCCACCAGGCAAAGCACATGGACTCGAAGAGGAAGAGCTTGGTTGCTAAAGGTGCGCTGTGCGCTGTGCATTGATTGATTCACTTCACAGTGAAAATATCTATGTTATACATGTCATACTGCCTTCTCTATGAAAAGAGAATATTCATTAATACTGAATATTAAATTAGGGTTGTTTTCAGTTGCAGATTATTAACGTGACTTTGACCCTTTTCGGAATTATGGTTATCCCATAGGTTGCTTCCTCAGAAGGCCTCTCATTGATTCTAAACATAATTAAGAGTCAATTGCCGTTATCTGCATTAAATGAAATAATGTGACCTCCAAACTAAGTCAGAAATTTCCAACTTATATTCTTATGTGTAATGAGACTTCCACAGAAACGTTAAATGTTAAACAAATGTTAAACAAATGAGATATTCCTTAGAGCTATATTTCTATTACTCTTAAGAGGCATTCATTCCAACATCAGAGCAGAGCCTGATGGAAAGTAAAGTTAACGTTTTCTAAATTATATAGCACAAAATACAGTACATTAATCAATCTTGAAATTGATCTGATAAAATTACAGAATCTTTGGGGCTCCTGGGTCAGTCAGTTAAGCATCTGCCTTTGGCTCAGGTCATGATCCCTCTGTCCTGGGATCCAGCCCCGGATCCAGCTCCTTGCTCAGCGGGGAGCCTGCTTCTCCCTTTCCCTCTGCCTCACCCCCGGCTTGTTCTCTCTGTCTCCCTCTCTCTCTCTCTCTGTCAAATAAATAAGTAAAATCTTTTTAAAAATTACAGAATCTTTGAGCCCAGCCTTCGTCTGCAGTGCAAATATGAACATTTCTCTAAACATCCTTGACACTCGGTCTTTCCGTCTCTCCTTGAATATTTTGGTGACTGAGAATATTTGAATATTTAGAAGGGTGGTTCTTGAAATTGGGTGTGAAACAAATGATCTGTAACCCACCTGTGGAGGTTCTGCCTCATTAGGTCTGGGGTCCAGGAATTGTTTTTAACAAGCTCTGCAGGTGATTTGACTGCAGGGCAAAGTTGGAAAATCTCTTCATTTGGGAAGTCACTCATATGCGGAACCTAACTCTGCCTCCTTTTTGTCTCTCCGTAAATCTAGTTCTGCCCTCGGGAGCACTCCACTGCTCTACGCAGTCACTCTTCAGAGATTTTATTTGCTCCTTCCCTGCATTTTTCTTTAATGACTATCAAGTGCCAGGTACTTTTCTACTGGGATATATTAGTGAACTTGTCCTTGTGAGGCTTACATTCTAGCAGGGATAGAGGGACAGTGTCAAAGAACCTAATAAATAACTTTAGTCTATTTAGATGGTGACAAATAGTAGGTAAGGGTGGGCATCATGGAGCAGGTACATTTGGGCAAAGACCTCAAGAGAGAAGACAGTGTATTTGGGGGTAGGGTATTTCAGGGAAAAAAAGGGAAAAGGTAGTGGTACCCTTCCTGGTTTGTTCAATGAACAGCAAAGAGGACTGTGTGACTACAGCAGAGTAAACAAGGGCAAGAATAGTAGGAAAGGAGGTCCAAGGACTAACAGACCACTGGGGGGACTTTGACTTTTCCTCAAGTAGTTTCCCCTTCTTTAATTCAGTCAGTTGTCCTTCACATAATAGGGTTTCCAACCACTACTAGTGAACATTCACATCCAGTATAAATTCGGCAGAGTAATAGGCATTAAATATATTACTCCTTGAAAGAATTAGCAAGGACATCATCATTGTTATCACGCTTGTGACATTAGTGAATGACGTTTCTAAATATTAAGTAATGTGCATGGGCTTTCCCTAATTGTTAGAAGATTCTTTCTCAATTCACCCAGGATCAACTTGTTTATAGAATCAAACCTAAGTAAAAGTCAATATCGAAGGCACCCCAAAGAAAACATTTCAAGATGAAATTAAGTTATGGATTAGTAAGTATAATATTTGTGGTTGAATTCAGGAGTGAATTAAAATCACACTAATAAAAACTGTCGTGGAAGTGCAAGATTTGCACCTGTTTTCATTTTCACCAGGTGCCATTCATTGGTATGTCACAGGTTCACTCTGTTGATAGGAGGCAACCATTATGGCAGGGAATGACCTTGATTTTAGCCTGTTGCCCATCACTCAGGCAGCGTCTCATTAAATCTGTACACCTTCAATCTACTCGAAGCCATTACAATTGGATTAATCAATATGGTTAAGAGTAACCTAGTCTGAGATAAAAAGTGAGGGCAGAAGACAGTGAAGACCAAATTACTTTCTCACCTCTGAAGGTGGGCCTCCTGTTAGAGATTCAGTCAGGAAAGCTAATAAATAAATGGATGGGAAGCCTTCATCCTGCTGTCTGCATCACTGTGTTTTTTGTTTTTTTCACCCCTGGTTAGAGTTGTCTTTCTTAATCCTCTTGTATTTAGAATTACTGAATTAGGGGCACCTGGGTGGCTCAGATGGTTAAGCGTCTGCCTTCGGCTCAGGTCATGATCCTAAGGTCCTGGGATCGAGTCCCACATCTGGCTCCCTGCTAGGCGGGGAGCCTGCTTCTCCCTCTGCCTCTCTCTCTCTCTCTCTGACTCTCATGAATAAATAAATTAAAAAAAAATTTAGAATTACTGAATTAAATTTGACTGTTACTTTTTAATAGAACTTAAGTCTCTAAAAATCTATTTATTAAATCTTACACATAAAGACAACTAGAAATACTTGGGCAGTACTACGATCTTGTGGGATCCATAAACATTCAGGTAAGTATACATTTCAAGACATCTGAAGCAACGAATTGGGACCTCACTGTGAAAAGTAACTATAACATGAGTGAAGCATCAAGTCTACATTGAGAGAGAAGCTAAACTTTGGGCATCGAATAGGAAGGAGAAAGAGAGAAGGAAAAGATGGCAGTAAAGTATGCTGTTGAATTTGATTAGAAGCAACTAACCTACACCTGGCTCGGCAGGATTTCCTAGCCTCCTGTGAAAAACAGTGTCAAGGTGCATAACGTATTGATTGACATTTCAAGCTGGCCAAAACTTTGCCTCAACCCGAATTCAGTTCAGACTGCCAGATCATATCCTAGACACCAGAAGGTGATTTTTTTGTTTTGTTTTGCTTTTGAATTCCAGTGGTTTTAAAAGACTGTAAATCCTTTGTTTAGTGGCTAGAATGGCCTTGATATAAATTATTTAATAACATTTTGTAGCTTCCAGGATTATTTCCTCCCAAATATGTCTTCGGTTTTTTAATTTTATTTTCAAATGAAAAATATGTGCTTGTTGGAGGTTTAAAGTTTCTGTGGGTTACTCAAATATCCTATCAGTAGGTATCACTTGACATCCTGAATGAATTATTTTTTGTATTATCATAAATTTTCATCACCCCAAACTAATTTTAACATTCAATATTCTTTTAAGAAAATAAAAAGTTAAAACAAATAAGTCCAATGTATTTGTATTTGTTTAACATTTCTTTCTTGGAAAGCCCACAGGTTTGAGTCTTGATTTACACTGCATTCATATGGGATGCCTGGGTGGCTCAGTCGGTTAAGCCTTTGGCTCACGTCATGATCCCAGGGTCCTGGGACCGAGTTCCACATTGGGCTCCCTGCTTGGTGGGAAGTCTGCTTCTCTCTCTGCCTGCCACTCCCCCTGCTTGTGCTCTCTCTCTCTCTCTGACAAATAAATAAAAATCTTAAAAAAAAGAACCAACATTGCATTCATCTACTGACAACATTAGACTTAAAATCAACTGTTTAAAATGATAAATAGTTCAGTATATAGTTCCCATTTGAAAAGCAGCTCTTTGACAGGTAAAATCTCCTAAAGTTGGCCATGGTAAGTTCCCCTACTCACAGAAAGAGTCACTCTACAGGATACCATTCGCCTGTAAGGGAGAGGCTGCCTGTACAGCAACAGGAGAGAGACTTGAAATCCAAGTGATTCCCCTCTCTTTACTCTTGCCACTGTTCCTCTTCAACTAGATGAGGGGAAATCTAACTGTCCTGAATTTTTTGAAGTGAAAAATAAACCTCTTGGCTGTCTGTGGTGTTTCAATCCATTAAACAAT